TTATATTGAGTGAGGTATCGTTAGCGTATGTTTATGCCTAATATTAATATTATGGATATCTGTGCGAAATCTAATTTTATCATAAAGGTAAGGCGGATTTTTGTGTAAGATAATTTTGTGGTAGAGACATAAGCAGTGAAGAGTCCTTCGCCGTGTCATGCTCAACCAACCAGCCCATTCCAGCGTATGTGATATGCGCTCCCTTCTACGGATACCATATATAAATCGCAGACAAGAGTTTTGTAACTTTTGAATTTTAGCAGTGTGAACACTGTCAAGGCAGGAGTGATATATTACGTCACCGTAATTGAAGATGGACAACACCAAGGCATCACACAGATGCGTTGTAAAGCAACCTTAATGTAGAGTAAGCTCGCCGTAGAAGGGACCGAACATGCCCATCAAAGCGAAGGCGCTCATCGAAACATATACCCAAATTTTTTACATTTTCCCCAAAGCTAAGACGACTTTCACCCATCACCAATTGCAAGTTAGTTTTTACAAACTCGGATGAAAAACCATAACCGATGACTTACTAGAATTAATCCGTAGACAAAGCTTGCCAGCAAGTTCTTCGACCTTAACTAAGTCATGATTAATTTTGCTTTCAGCGTCTTCCATATCACACATGGCATACAGTGATTCAAAACATTAGCAAACCCAATTGTAGATATCAGATATAACAGAGGACCCAAAATAGAGCCCTGTGGGACACCCGCGGTATTGGATATAACATCTGCGGTATTGGATGTACCACCATTAAGTTTAACCAACTGCTTTCGTCTAGACAAATAACTTTGTACTAAATGAATCGAACCTAAAGATAAACCTATATAATGGAGCGCAGCCACTAAAGTATCATGATGTATTCTGTCAAAAGCCTTAGAAAAATCCAAAAGTGTTAAGATAGTAACCCGTTTGTCGACAATTGCTTTGAAGATTTCATCCGTCACACCCAGAAGCGCAGTAGCGCTACTAAATCCCGGACGAAAGCCAGACTGGCAACTGGGCAACACATTATAATCATCAAGATGACAGCGAAGTCTGACCGCCAAGACCCTCTCACAAACCTTGGATAATATAGGCAATATACTAATTGGCCTTAAGTCCCCCAATTCATGAGGATTTTGGGTTTTTGGAATTGGAATTACCAGGGCGATCTTCCAAATATCAGGGAACACAGAACATTCAATGGAATAGTTAATTATATGGCACAAGAAGGGCAAAATTGTAGGACAACACAATAAAAGCATTTTAACACTTATGCCATCCATACCAACAGTTTGATTTGATACCACATAGAATATTGAAAATTTCAGTTTCATTTGTAAGAGAAAATGTTAGTTTTTCTGTAACTTGTGGAAGTATGTTATTCCAATAAAAGTTAATCAACTCAGCACTTCCCGTTGAATTAGTTTGAGTGCTGAGAAGGAAATTATTAATAGTATCAGCATCAAAACCAGTATCAGTCAATACTTGGAATAAATAGGAATAACATGGAAGTGTTAGTTGATATCAAGAAGAGTTCTGTTCGAATGTTGTCTGATCCAGTTGGGTTGGGTTTTTGTTGATTTTTTTTGTGACTTCTGCAAAATCATCTACACTTATTTCCTGATACTATTTACTTCAATACAATAGACATACAAAACTAAACGTTTTGTGCAGAATAAAAAATTGAAAAAATTTCTTATTCCAGCTTAGGAGAAATTTAAATTTTTTTTGACATAGAAGGTAAAAGGTAGTAAGAAGATAGAACAAATTTCTAGTTGTATGGTGGTTTTAGTGAAATTTTATATCGCAATGTTTTAGAAAATATGACGTAAAATAGAAATGTCAATGTCGCAATAATATTACAACATTATTATTTTTTGCCGGTCAGTTTAGTCTAAACTGACCAGCAAAAAAAACTGGCCACTATAAATTAGCCACAACTTCAAAGCTGTCTTTNGACTTTCAAAATGGCGGCAAACCGCGGTACTTTGTAAATCTAGGGACTTTAAGCAATTTGTGCTTACAGTGCCATCTAGCCGTCCGTGGTACCCATTAAATATCTGTCTTTATTTATACGTATTGAGTTAACACACCTTGATTTATATTTTCGTGGTATATTACGCCAAAACAAGTCTGTGTATTGCCAAAGATCAATTTATTTTATGAAATTCTTTGAAAGCAAAATACGATGTCAAAGATGGCACGGAAACTAAAATACAACGTGAATGATGGCACGAAAAGCAACACATCTATTGCTAATATGATTCCAAATCTGGATAGAGGCAATAATTTTGTATGTTTGGGAGCTTGAAACTGCTTAAATTAATTATTGGTAATGTATTATCTTAGATTTGACAAATTTTAATAAATAGGAAGTGTTAGTTGATAGCAAGAAGAGTTCTGTTCGAATGTTGTCTGATCCAGTTGGGTTGGGTTTTTGTTGATTTTTTTTGTGACTTCTGCAAAATCATCTACACTTATTTCTTGATATTTACTTTAATACAATAGACATACAAAACTATACAGGGTGATTCATTAGCTCTATAACAAGCTATAATTCTAAGGAAAAAATGTTATATGAATATGGGTCCGATTCATTTTGGTTAAAGAGTTACAAGCCTTTGAAAATTTTACGCAGTTTAATAGGCAAATGAAAATGTAACATAAAAAATAAGTTTAAAAATTATAAAAATTGNGTTTCATTTGTAAGAGAAAATGTTAGTTTTTCTGTAACTTGTGGAAGTATGTTATTCCAATAAAAGTTAATCAACTCAGCACTTCCCGTTGAATTAGTTTGAGTGCTGAGAAGGAAATTATTAATAGTATCAGCATCAAAACCAGTATCAGTCAATACTTGGAATAAATAGGAATAACATGGAAGTGTTAGTTGATATCAAGAAGAGTTCTGTTCGAATGTTGTCTGATCCAGTTGGGTTGGGTTTTTGTTGATTTTTTTTGTGACTTCTGCAAAATCATCTACACTTATTTCCTGATACTATTTACTTCAATACAATAGACATACAAAACTAAACGTTTTGTGCAGAATAAAAAATTGAAAAAATTTCTTATTACAGCTTAGGAGAAATCTAATTTTTTTTTGACATAGAAGGTAAAAGGTAGTAAGAAGATAGAACAAATTTCTAGTTGTATGGTGGTTTTAGTGAAATTTTATATCGCAATGTTTTAGAAAATATGACGTAAAATAGAAATGTCAATGTCGCAATAATATTACAACATTTTACTATTTAGTTAGTCAAAGTACGTAATCATGAAATGATTGGACTTTGGCTGATAAAAATATAACTTGGCCAATACCCAATATGATCGGCCACATCTGAAATATCCGATTTTTGGATTAAATTAAATTAAACATCTGATCCTATCTTTTCCTATATTTTCCCTTTAAAATCTTTTTATTTTTGGTACAAATGAGTTTTGATTTTACAGTAGCCAAAGAGCACACCGTTCGCGACAATACGATAGAGGCACTAGCAATGAAAGACGTTACAAACGAAGCCATCGACGCTCGCCGACTTCGAAAAAACGCCATCGTCACCGTCACGAGAGATCATCGTCGAAGAGGAAACATAGCCGGAGGTCGTACTCTTCGGACCAGGTCAGTGTTTAAAACCGTTTAAACGATTACGTTCCCGATAGATAAACGCATAAACTAGGGTAAATATGCACTTATCGACACGTCTACGTGCTAAAAATATAAGAAAACCAATTTTAAAACATAAATATACCACTCTCTTTTTTTTTAAGTTTCTTTTCCTGTTTTATTAAATTTTAATATTTTTTTTAGTACTAAATACGATTCAAATTTGGAACAAACATTTCTTTCGGATTTGTCATCATTACGAGTCTATCCTTATTAACTAACTACGCAACGATGATACTTGCTCGCTTGCTCATCGAGTTAGCTATTTCAAGTCTATTTCTGTTCTGGCATCTATTTTCGTTATTTCGAACCACGAGTCCGCTTCTGTCACTCGTCCATGTGCCGCGGTCTCTGTCGGAGAGTTTACGTCATAAGGATGGTTGAAGAAATATGGCCGAGTGGACCCCGAAGCAGCAATTTGCTGCAGCAAGAATTTTTGCATTAGCTTTACCACAAAGAAAAATCGAAACTCTCCGACAGAAAAGTTTTGGGTTTTACCCCCCGATTTTTCACCATGAAAGTGATAGCTCATCGAGTGGATTTGATGATGTGACGATTAGGTCTGATAGTTCCACTGGGTACGATTGTTTTGGATTTTTTGATGATGAACAGGTTAGAGGTGTGAATTAATTGTTAATTTTTCTGGGAACGAAGCTTTTTCACTGTTTGTATTCCTCAAAACGTTTTCGATGAAAATTTTCTAAGAAGCAGCATCTCCGGGTTCTTTCTTTTTAAATTAATCTAATAAATCATATCGCTTTATTCTTTGGAGCCGTTCTAGAAAATCGTTAAACGTAACAATTACGGTAAATGAACGCGTGTTTTTGCAATGATTCAACGCATTCTCCTTTTTATTTAACTGTATTTACCTTGTTTTTCAATAAAGTTTGTACTTGAAAACTAAAACCCCCACCTTTCCCAATTGTTTTTCGATTGCGGCCGCCTTCCTTTTCCGAAAAACATTAAATAATAATAAACATCAGCACCAAGTTCGGCGAATCTTTATTTTTCAAACATTTTCGTACATACATACTGATTAGCACCACGTGTGATGCTCAGTTTCGATCTAATCGCCTTCACGGTTTCTTTAAATTCTTCGTCTTCGAATCGATTTTGAGTCGACGCTTGCCTTATCGCTATCAGTACGCGGCGGTGCATGCTACAAGGAGGAGGTTTGTTGTTCTTTTGGCGGCAGTGTTGCGGCGTTAACGTCACCGCGATTATCGCCGAAGCGCGCAAAATGGTGGTTGATGTTTGTGAAAAGAAATTGAGGAAACATGGGAGGGCCTTAAGGTTACTACTTAGGATAAAAAGGATTTTTCGGAAATTTGTTATACAGGTCAGACAAGTTTAGTTTTTTTTAACGTTGAAAAATCGGTGTTACGTCGAGTACGTTGAATGTATTTATAGAAAGAACGTTGGTTAGCATTTTTATTCCGTTTAGATTTCGTTATCGCGGAATATTCCTCCAATCAGGCCTAAACAGCGATAATAATAATGTAAGTAATCGCTGTTTTTAAATGAAAACGTCTCCTTTATGTGGTTGTGAAACTAGATTTTGCAATTTTGTTTGATTTGATTGCGATATCAACTAATCAAATAAAGGCTTTTTGATTTTTAAATTTGACATTGACATTTCAAGGTTGCGCAGGTTGAGCATACCTTGGCGTCGTTTTTCGAAACCTTCCATCAAATCATAAGATGCGCAAGCGCTTATGATCCTGTGGGATTAAACCCGATGGAGGCCGAGTGAGCGCCCCCGTCGGCGTCGAGGCGCTATTTTGGTCCGACGATATTTGGCAGGAACGTCGGACACCTTCAGTGCAAAGAGTGCGAGTGACCCCGTGAGATGGTGGCGGATTTTCCGCTGCTATGTACGGCACGAGCCTGTCGATTTCCCGTTTGAGGGGCACCTACGACGACTACGAGCGTCTCGGCTATCCGAATAAACCATCGTGGGGCCAAATGACTAATTCAGCGACTGGTGGAAATGGGGGCGCTTCAACCGCAAGAAGAAATCATCGGTATCAGCGCGCCTCAACAACCGCGAGCGTCACTCAAATGCTCAGTGATTCTTGTTCGAGCCTCCTACAAAAATTGACGACGCGAGTTCGGGGGCCTTCGGCGACGGTTGAGCGGCAATTAAAAAATAACGGATTAAGTTATTCGAATCACCCCCTCGAATCAACTCGGGTTACATCCCCCGGGTTTTACGCCTCCGCAAGAACGCGATTAGAAGACAAATATTCTTCGGTGCTCGAAAAAATTTATGGCAAAAAGAAGGATGAAACATCTTCGAAACCAATTCCTTTAAGTAAAAGTGCCACAACCTCAAATATTTCGTATCCTTATCTTTATCAACACCACAACAACAACAATAACAACAACAACAGCAACAACAACAACATTTATAACGGAATTAGAGAAAAAACGCCTTATAAAACATCATCAAAAAAATACCCAGAACCTCCTTATAGCTACCTCGATCGCGACGCCGTTTATAGAATAAGACATAAATCCACCACCAGCAACAGTGGTCAAGCGGAATTACGCCCGAGAAGATCCTCAAAACCAATAAGAAGTGGAAAAAGTGAATGTAACGAAAAGCGAAAACCCAGCTTAAAATTATGCCCGGTTGAAATGCCCCCATTAGATGATATTAGAACAACTCCAGTTCCTCCTGTTGTTCCTGCAGCAATAACTGCCAATTTATCCCCGTTAACTTTAGACGATGAAGCCACCCCGACGCCTTCTATGCCTCCTCAAGATCCGGTTTTATCGGAGAGAGAGGCGAAACGGAAGGAAATACAAAATTTAATTATGAAATATTCCGCTTTGGACGAAGTTTATAATAAGAAAAGTACCCAACCTGGTGTTCATAAAAGCGCCGCGGCTGCTATCGCACAAAAATATCATCCGGTTAGAAACGCGGCGGTTGTAAGTAAAGGTTGTTTTTTTGTAAAGTGGTGCTGAATTGGACGAATACTAACAAACAATAAAACGAATGAAAGAAAGTTGTTTTGTTATGACTAATAAAGTTTTTTTATCAATATGTGTCGATTTCTTTATGGTTTGCCAGATAAATTAGGGCGAAAGTGACCAAGTTTTTTCGATTGTTTATTTTTAGGTAATTGCGCATGAGTGTGCCCAAAGCTGACTTGATGCAGTACTATAACTGCCAATTCGAACATTGTAAATGTTAAAATATGATGCAGAAATTTCTGTTTTCATAAACAGGCTTTATGACGTCAGAATTGCCTCTATCATCTATTTCGTTTGCTTTGAAGATCTCATCTATTAAGCTTTGTTAAATATTTTTTTAAGTTAATTTAACATTAAATTTTCTTACACAAAATGGCATCAATTAAAAACTTGATTTAAATTTAATTTTTCTGTTTTGGCAATAACAATGAATTATTTTGTTTTTCTTAGAAAGTTCCTAAACTCATAGATAAATACGGCAATCTGTCCAACATTTTATTTCAACATATTACAACTACGCGCTTACGTTGTAATACTTGAAATACTTTTGTAAATGATTACTGAAATCAATTTTTGCAAAGATTAGTTATCTTAAGCATCCAAATTTGGTTTTGCACACCAAAATGTTGAACCTTTTTCTTTATTAGGTTCAGTATAAAGTAATGAAAGGTAATGATATTCGATAACAAATAAATTGCTAAAAATCCTTGATCGCTTCAGCCATCATCTATGTCATTTCTAAACTCCAAACCAATCCAAATACATTCTTTGCTGGTTGTACTATTTTTATGGTCTCCTTCAATCATTTCTGATTCTCTATCAGATAGAATTACATCACACAACGCGTCATCAATTTGAAAAAAAACATAACTGAGTGTGGATAAAAAATGTAATTATCCACAAAAAGTAAGAAATGGAAATTCAAACACATTCAACGTACTTCTCGCAAATGCTACATAAAAATAATAACTAAAATTATAATCAAATTCACACCGTTTATTTCGCAAACCATAAAGAAATCGACATAGTAACAAATTTTGTAAAAAATGGAAACTCTCCTAGTTTTTGCACACTCACAAATGTTCTATGCTATAGTTCAATTTTGTCGATCGTAATTTCTGCAGCATTAATCCCAGGTGATGTTGTATAGCTAGATTATAAAATTTCATCCTCAGCAAGGTTGAGATTAAACCCAAGGCATTGCAAAAAAAGATTTTCATCACTCATTACATCCAGACGACTTCATGTATCTAGTATTTTGGTTGCCTAAATAGTATAGTCAAGATGAGAGATTTGGTCACAAAAACAATTTATTTGTATGGTACTTAAACGGAAAATTTTAAATTTTTGATATTGGTACTAATAAATCTTCATTATTTTGTGTTAGGTGATGAGTCCATTATCTTCTTCTTAGTCTGCCATCTCGTAGCGCTTCCTTTGCCCATCTGTTTGAATACGTCGTCATTTGTTATTCGATGTATCCATGATATGCGCAGAATACGATGGTATAGGTACATTTTGAGGGCATTGATGCGACTCTCTAGTTAATGATTGAGTGTCCAGTTTATACATTGCAATTTAGTCACGATTTGTACAGAGAGTCTTCATAGAGTTAAACACCCTTCTGACCTGCTCGATTTATGAGTCTTATTATTATTATTGCTGCCGGGCTGAGGAGGGCGGCCCCTCTCGTTACCGCGACCTATAAGATCTATTGTAACTTTAGCCCTCCAAAGGTTTAGGGCAAATGTAGGTCCTTAATGAACCTTAGTATTGTCCTGAGGTCTTGAACCTTTATGTCGGTAGGTAACAGGGGAGTTTTACCGAAGACGTTGTGCCTTAGACGTCCTCTGGCGACGCAATTGCACAGTATATGTTCAGCAGTTTCTGACTCGTCGTTGCATAGTCGACAAGTTTAATCCTCAGCTTGTCCAATGTGGAAGAGGTGGTATTTTAGGGGCACATGGCCGGTTAGGTAGCCTGAGAGCGTTCTTAGATCCCCTTTGCTGAGGCATAAAACCTCTTTGGTTTTGTTTTGCGACGGAGTTATCATACTCTTCGCTTGTCTGTGACCTGGAAGTTCTTTCCAGCGTAAGGCTATCTTTGAAGCCTCCCAGTTGTTGATTATTTGTTTTAGGTGGCTTTTTTGTAGTCCACATCCAGGTTGGGGTCCAATGAAGGGCGTGTTTGCTGCCTCTTTGGCCAGCTCATTGCCCTCAATGTTGCTGTGACCTGGAACCCACCATAGGGTAACATCATTGCCCCTAGCGAGTTCTCTCAGGTTGTTGGTGCACTCTCTGATCAGTGCGGAGCCACACGTGTAGGCCTGAATTGCCTTTAAGGCGGCCCGACTGTCGGTGAAAATGTTTATGGATGCACCTTTTTGTCCCTTCTGTAGGTTCAAAGCGGTGCAGAAGTTTATATCAAGAACTTCTGCTTGGAAAATTGTTAAGTCCGAGCTGAGGGGCAATTTGATGTGGCTATTTGGTCCACTGATGCCCATGCCTACTCCAGATCTTACTGTCTTTGAAGCATCGGTGTACCAGGCTAGGGCTCCTCTTTTTAGTTGAGGCCCAATCATCCCTGCTACTAAATATGACCTTATACGGTTGGTTGAAATTGTATTCCGTCGGTATAAGGTCCGTTTTAATTTCAATCAGGTGATTTAGACATGGGTCTTTGAGGATCTCGTGGTGTCCTCTGAGATTACCCTGCATCAACTTGAGTGAAGAAACTGTTTTCAGTGATAAGGCACTTAAGGCTGCCTCCTTTTGTATATATATGTGGAGCGGTGTGAGACCGAGTAGGGCTTCCAAAGCAGCCGTCGGACAGGATCTCATTGCACCCATTATGTTAAGACATGCTAACCGCTGGATTTGTGCCAGCTGTTGTTGAGCTGTCTTATGTTTTGTTTTTGGCCACCAAACCAATGAGGCGTAGGCGACCATGGGTCTGATTATTGCTACGTAGGCCCAATGAGCCATTCGTGGTTTGAGACCCCAGTTCCTTCCTAGGAGCCTGCGGCAGATCTGGTTTGCCATGATGGCCTTTTTCCTCACCTTATCTAGGTGTGAGTTCCAGTTTAGTTTACTATCAAGTATTACCCCTAGGTATTTAGTTTCTGTTTTATGAGTCTTAGTCTTGGCAGTATTCATGTTGATCAAATCTCTATTTCATCAGATGTTGTGTTCTTTATTTGACTCCAGTACAATTGTGTTCAGTTCGCCTTCATTAATGTTCAGGATTTGAAAATTTCTGCAAGCTTACCATATTTGATTTGGGTTGCTAATCAGAAAGAGATGCTTGGATAAGGAAAGAAAAATGATACAAGAAATCCACAAATACTTTTGAGGAGTGGAAAATAGATGGAGTGGAGATACCGATAAGGCGAGATGGACGAAACAGATCCTGCTGATATTATGTCATGGTTTGTACGAAAATGGGGAGAAATAAATTACGGAAACTTTCTGCCGAATCTTGGTTTATATGCCAACTTCATGATTTTCATAAAAAATAAACATCATCTTGCTTAACAAAACACATTTGTTTTGAACATAAATACTTGAATTGTACGAGAATGAGTTTGCAAATTCATTCTGTGGCAACTTAATGTAGCAAAAACAAAAATATTTGTAAAGAAACTCTTTAAAGGAAATTAAATTATCTATTATTTCCTGTAATTTTCATTACGGTTTATTTACCTCGTTGATGAAGAACAAAGTTTAAATTTACGAACAGACGTTTATTTAAGCGAATAGGCGAAGTAGTTAGCACCACGTGTGTTTACAAATTTTCGAATAGCTGCCCGAAAACTTGGCCAAAGCTTTATTTAAAAAAAAATTCTTTCAAAATTTGTACAAAACTTAATTTTTATTTCAATCTATTTTCTGAATGTACTTTGACGTAGCGCCGATATTCTCAGAAACCACCCGAATAAAACCCTGTTTACAACCAAAAATAATCTGTATGTGCGTGTGTGGATGAGTGTGTGTGTGTCGTGAGTCGACACAACCGGCCGACTTTCCAACGTTACCTCTCATTTATTTTTAGTAATGTTACATTGCGATCGTTGGCAATGGATGGACCATATAAATTTATACGTCGACTTCTTTTATAAGTATTTCGTTCAAAATTTTTTTTTGTTTATATAATTTTTTGAATCATACGATTTCCTTTTTCTAATTCAGCGTGAAATTGATTTCAATTTTAAAAGTAGTAAAAATAAAAATGTTATCCGAGGCGAATTGAGATATTTTTAAAATTGCGTCAACGCTTCGGGTTTATCACCGTTTGCGAAAAAAAAAAATTAACTCGCGCGAAATTAACGTGAAAACAACAATATTTTGGGTTGTGACGTCTTTGTGAATTAAGATTTCAAATACTAAGTTTGTTTCCAAGTTTAATTAACCCTGCATGAAACGCAAAAAAAGAGAATTAAAATAATAACAGGAAAAGAAACTTTATTTCGCCCCCATTTAATTTTTAAATCTTTTTTATCCTCGATTACCTTTAATTTTTTGTTTTAATATAAATAAATCACCATGATAATAATATCGTTTAAATCGATATTGTTTTAATGGTGGGCTTATTAATTCTTTTTTTTTTTAATAAAAACGCTAAATAAAATATAAAATAATCGCTCACAAAAAAAAAAAAACATAAAACTATTTAAGATAGTTGAGAGTGTAATATTGTTGTGAGAAATTTTGTTGTTGCAATGAGAAAAAGAGAATATGTACCGTATGTTGATTTGGCAATACGTTTGCCCTTGTTTCCTCTGTCTGCTTATTGGGCCACACACCTCCACGTAACGTTGGCTGCATTGCTCGACCCCGATCCAACTTCAACCTCCAATGATGATGATGATGACGTTGATGACCCGCCCCCTCCAACATTCTGGACGCTATGATGATGATGATGATGTTGGTTGATGATGCCGAAACGCAGAGCTCTCGAGCACCTTCTGTCGAGGACGACGAAGAGGGACACCTCATTTACCGGTCTGGAGATGTCCTGCAAGACAGATGTTCGTGAATACTTACTGTTTACACTTAGAAGTTCTTTTTCGGATAAGTCAAAAATATTACATAATGATAATAATTAAAAAAAACAATGTTCAAAAAAGTGCCCCCTACTATATTATTATTATTATCTTTTTTGCCGTGTCGTAAAAATACGATTTCTGTATTTATTATTTTTATTAACAAATTTCTTTTCAGCGTCTAAAATAATGTTTATAGAGGATCGGCTGGGTACTTAATATAAAACGCTTTTCTTTGAAGAGTTAAGTTAAAAAGTTTTGTAATTTTATGGGGCTATCAAGGTCGCCAACTGCACCACGGGTTATTTGCATATTTCCATAAGTTGTCCGTGTGGAACGCGATTGCCGACTTATTTACCATAACATAAGTGTCCTATTGATTTCTTGTCTTTTTTTTGTTTTGCTAAATTTACGCTTAAAGTAATTTCGGTGAGATATTTGGGTCAACTAAATTTCGTAAATTTTATTTTAACAAAATTTATTTTTATTTTTTTTAATTTCGTCCCAGTCGATCCACAGGTAAATTCCACTCAAAAACGTTTTAATTCAAATTATTACAAAAAAAATCATAAAATTAAACTCTAAATTTTAAGTAAAAAAAATTCTTTTTAATTTAATTTAATTAATTAAAATTAAAAAAAAAATGGTTTTACCTCATTCGTTTCTTAACCACCAATTTTATCCGATTACTTTTATTATTTTCGATTGGTCGTTAACAATTGAGGTCAAATCATTGTCGTTTTCTTGTTAACTAATTGAATTTATTGTTCAATTTCAGATAAAATTCTCGGCACGTTGGGAGAAGGCACCTTTGGAAAGGTCGTCAAAGTGAAAGATCTGGAATTGTAAGTCTTATTTAATTAATTCATTTTAAATTATTCATTTTGATGTAAACGTTTTTATTATTAGGGATCATTCGATGGCTTTGAAAATCATCAAAAATGTCGAAAAGTACCGGGAAGCGGCTAAACTAGAGATTAATGTCTTGGAAAAAATTGCTGATAAAGATCCTGATAGCATGTAGTAAGTATTAATCACATCTGTTTATTTTGGTGGTCATTCGATTTTTTCAATTCATTGATAGCGAAATATATTCGTTAAAATAAGAATAAGAAAAGTGCTTTTCTTGCGCCGCACATAGGTTGATTTGATCGATTTACGCGGTCAAAATTATTTTATGATCTATATCAGTTCTAAATGGGATAAACAATAATAATTCGGTATTTTTCACAATAATTACTAATTAATATGATTATTTAAAAACAAATACAGAAAATTCAAACATATTAACTTAACACATAAAAAAAGGTATCTTAAAAGACAATAAGCATTCATTTCCGAAATCACTGTCCCATAATATTTGTTCGTAGGTATATTATGTTAGTAAAGAATATCAATAATCATTGTTTCAACCATATTTAATCACAGATCTTGCTCGCTATCCGAAGAATCTGGTGTAGTACTGGCTTCAATATAAGGCTCAGCTGATATTAACATTTCTATTGTTTCTGGGCAGAATGATTTCGATTTACACCTTTTTTTAATTTGTGTTGTGCTGCTCAAAAGTGGGTCTGAGCTTAATAATAATCTATTATATATATCGCGGTTACAATCTTCTCTTGAAAATTTCCTGGCAAAGTTTTCGCGGTACATTCGAAAATGTTTGTTTCGAGCCTCTTGGGCTTCTTCTGATAATTGCCCTATGGGCAACAAAGCATTTTTAATGATGGTACCACCATGTATTAATATCTTATGCATGGATGGTGTCATCGGATGCCATTCATACAATTGAACGTATAATTTAGCCGTATCCAGAGCATATTCATCATATTTCTTGGTATCAATTTTATGACCAGATGAAATGACTTCCAAAATTACTTTAAGTCTGTACAATAAATTATAATCAATTCCTGTGATGTCAGCAGCTAAATTTGCATTTTCGAAGAATCTTCGGCTAGTGTTTCCATCGTTAGTATTTCCATAGTTAGCCTTTGGCATATCTATTAATAATCCCGTCTCTTTTCTAAACCTTTCTTGAATGTGTAATTTCGTTTGTTCTTCGACGATTTTTTCCTCCTTACTTCTTTTCTGTCTGTACTTCTTGACTGGCAATTTATAAGCCAAATGTAAAATACTCTCTAACAATCGTATTCTGGCGTGTAAAACAGATAAACCAAATTCGATAGCAGGTTTACTCACTACTTTTTTTTCTAGATCCAGATTATTGAAATCTTTTGATGTTACGTTACATATATAACACCGTGTCGTTGATTTTGTGCCAGTAGCTGCGTTGCAAACCTTTCCGTCAACCATAGTCATTTTCAATATATGTCCAAACAGGAATGTCTTTCCGTTCAAAATGACTTCGGTAGCAACTAAACTCTGTGCAGACTCTTCGACAAAACTAATTTCTTCTTTAGTAACATCCGCGTTTTCCTTCAGAAATCTGAATCTTATCGGTCGGCAATATTTTGGCGAAGACGGTGTTGGGTTTTGCCAAATGACTTTCTTTTTATCCTTGCCACAAACTATTTGTATTGGTACGAAAGAACTCAGAAATATATGACCATCTGAATCGGCATCATTATCGAATTTCTGTTTATATTTAGCTTGCTGCGAACCATCACAACCCCATTTACAAATAATTAGCAATGAATTTCTTTCTTCTTCATTGAGGGTTGCCAGTACTTCTTCCAGATAAATTGAAAAGCGCGTAACGGTGTTGTTCATGAGGCCTTGTAATGTACTTTCGGCGCAGGTACTTGTGACCCTTATACATTCTTTAGGTGGATAGCAATCTTGTTTTGCTTTAATTACTAGATTGTAACACGGATAAAGAGCTTTGTTCCTACTTCTAATAACTTCATATTGCCGCTTAGTTAAATCAGCCTCTACAAACATGGCTAATGCTTCTTGCGGTGTTAGTGGACGAATTTCTTGTTGGCAATATTTGGGTTGGAAAGCTTTCTTATATTTTCCAGCACGAGTAGGAGAATTTGTGATGTTTTGCAGAATTTGAGATGCATCTCTTTTGCCTCTTTCTCTTAAGGTTGTTTGTGCAGCATGAATAATAACTTCATCGTCTACAGTCGTGCGAACCTGTTCGGTTTTTCGGCGCTTACTTCTCTCACTCAATTCACTAAATGGTTTAGAAGGACGTTCCGGCCGACATTGACGATCACTTGGAAGTTCAAAGGTTCCATCCAACCAGACCTTATTCGTTTTTTTGAAAACATCTTCTTTTCTATGAGCTTTCGACCATTTCACTTTTATTGAAGATTTAAAGTAACCAAATCTTTTCTTCAGACATCTTATCTTATCTTCAGCGTTACAGGAGTACGACAAGAGATGCTTTTCCAAATGATTCAACTTTTCATCTAAAGTTGGAAAATTGAATTGTTGCAGTTGATCATATAAATATTGACGAGTTACTCCTTTTATTCTAGACGTGCTAGATGATGTTGAAATCACTTGAAAACAGAATAATATAGAAAAATCAAATTCCGTGTTTTTTCCTCTATTTCAAGTCATAACGGATAAGTCTCTGAAATTTATGAAACGCGCCGTATCCGCAGCTGATTTAATCGTCATCAGTTAAATGAAAGTACAAAGTATCATAATCAAAAAGAATTATAGCTCGATCGGGCGCGATAGTACAACAAAATAGATTTTAAAAGCAAAAAATACCGGAAATTTCGTTTCAAAAACACACAAGGTTTCGAACCTTTGAAATAACCTTAAAACATCGCAGGTTTTTTAAAATATTGTAATCCCTATTGATTCTTACCTGAACTATCGGGATCCATCACCCTCACTTTAGTGACAGACACAGAAACTCAAATATTGACTTTGTAAAAGTTGCTTACGCAAAGAACGCCAAAAACTGTAACTAGGTTCTAATGACATGTGCAACCACACACTACCACGGATAGTATAGAGGGTGTTACCTTTTGTTTCTGGAACTGTCTACACACTCTTTGTGTATTTCCTTTGTAACTATGATTACTTTTTGATTTCAACTTTTGACCGCTTAAATCGTTAAAATCAACGTATGTGCGCCGTTAATAACTCGCTTTGTTGAACGTTTTCCAACACATTTGGTTGGCAAGATTTTGGTTGATCGCGTACATGCTAATTTTTAAATTTAGTTACAATTCAGCTTAATATACTTTGGCTAATGGACTTTTGATCGAGGTGTTGTTACATTAACTACGTTGTTTCATCTAACTCTAATATACTAAGAATCGTTTCTTTCTTACTCAAATACAATATTCTAAATAAGTTGTTTAATACAGAATTAAGATGAAATTTTATGATTATGCTAAATATTAAGGTTGCATGGCACTAAGTGTGATGGCAACATCACCACAGCGTTAGATCCAAATTAAGAGTAGGAAATTAGGAAAACGATAAAATCACCACATCATTTTCTGAAAAAAAAAAAACAAAGTTCAGAACACATCTGATCTTCATATACAACTCTTCTAATTACTACATGTAGAGGAAAGTTAATTGTACATCAATCGTCTCAAGAGATTTCTTGTATTGTTATCCTCCAAGTCGTTTTCCATGTTTAAAAAATCAGCCATTTTCATACCATCTCCTGTTTCCTCTACAGATTTTGTCAGCCTTCTTAAATGTTTCCTCTTTCTCTCGTGTGCATCTCTCTGTCTCCGTTCTATACATTCTTATTTTTCCACAAGCAGCCCTCTGCGACACCAAGCACTGTTCTCAATCCATTTTATCCACCAATGTGTCCCATCATCTCACATACATCTCACTCTAATATGGAATGATATAAAAATCGAATACATCAATAATTTCTCAATAAATCCAAACGCCACAGTGTCAAACAAGTTCTGTGCATGAGGCCAGTTGACACCAAACTAGTTGAGATTAGAAATGTGATGTTGTGTGGAGTGTCAAAACTCAACTTTATCTTCATTAGGTAAAGGGATACCTTCTAAATATCATATTGCCATTGTCAGCTATTGTGTAAATGAGATGAAAACTCTTAACCCAGATATGCCTAAATTAAAACCACTTTACAAATCATAATAACTTTATTGAAAACTTATTAAGCAAAACAAAGTCTTACAAACAAACCATGACCTTTTATGTCCTTTTTGATATGACGATGTTTTTTTATTCTGAACCAACAGCATTACATCAATTCTCCTTCTAAAACTAAGTTGATCTAATTCTTCTCCATTCTTGCGATGCAAATGCCATGCGTTTTGAATTGCCATGTCAATACAGTGAGATATCAAAGGAAAATACCATTTTTTTCCTCTGATCGAAATTCGATATAAGCTGATATTTTGGTCAGAGCGGTCGACACCTCCCATATTTGTATTGTACATCTGTATAAGATGCGGCTGCTGTACCTGAATATTCTTCTTTTCTTTTTGCGAATAACGTGTGACCGAGTGAATTGGGGCAACTCCAGAAAAATTGGAACAAACAGAAACTACACTATTATCGTGCCACTTTACTGCAATTATATTCTGTTCTACAATTTTTGCATAATCATAACTTCCTCTGCGCTGCTTCTTTATGAGTTTTGAATCTATAAGAGAAATGTCTTTTAGCCTGTTTTCTCTAACCGTACCAGTAGCATAAAAATTCCAGTCAGTTAGTTTTTCGATCAACGGAATTGACGTAAAAAAGTTATCAAAAAAGAGATGAAATTTTTTATCTGGCCATTCCTTACGTAAAGCTTGCGCATATTCTAAGACTACTCCAGCACCAACTCCCAATTCAGAAAAGTTTTCACTTATATTTGTAGAGGCTCCTTGATAAGGTTCGAACCAATTCAAGTAACCTAACCTGGTACTTCCTACCCATAACTTATATCCATAGCGCATGGGTTTTCCTCGAATATACTGCTTACAGCTATGACGTCCATAATACGGAACCATAGCTTCATCAACTGAGTGCATTTCTTCAAGCGAGGAATTCTCCATGAATTTTTTATTCAACAGTGTGAAAAGCGGCCTTAGTTTAGCGAATTTGTCACCCTG